GGCCTGTACATACCGCTACTCTGTCCAGGATGTCATTGACCATACTCAATGCAGTGCCTGCCGGCGCAAACACTTGCCCACTCGATCAGCCAACGACTGCAGTTTAGACGGCCCTTTGTCACTGTCACTCGCTTCAGTGTCGCCAGTGGTGTAGTGACGTTCTCCACCACCACTACTACTAACTCTCTTCTTACTAGTCCTACTACTACTACTACTACTACTACTACTACTACCACCACTACCACTACTACTTTGTTGACCAGTACGTGGGTTGCTGCCACGGGTAGCGCGTATACTTTGGTGACGTTCATTCGTGACACTGTCTTTCCTGCTGCCACTGTCGCTGTGTGACGTTCTGTTGACCTCAGACACGTGTCCGCCCGTTCCATTGACCTGTGCGCTGGAGTCCTGTATGTGATTGCCTGCTGCTGTGTGTGTGTGTGCGTGTGCGTGTGTATGTGTGTGTGATGTTGTGTGCACGTGATTGTCCTGCGTCGGCTGCTTGCTGTCAATGACCATTGCATCCACTCCGCCAGTGATACTGTTTGCACTACCAGGCCCAGTGTGTGTGTGTGTGTAATGAGGTGTGTGTGTGTATCCTTGCATGTCTGTGTGTGTTTCCATACTTGTGGGTGTGGGTGTGGGTGTGAGCGATGGAGAGAGTGTGGGTGTGGCTGATCCTTTGAGCATGCTGTTGTGGGCGCGTGCGATCTCCAGTTGCTCCGCCTGTTCCATCTCTTTGCGTTTGTGGCGAATGTTGAACACCTCCAGCTCAACTGTATCAGCAAATCATAGGCACAAAGAAAGATCACCATATAAGCTACAGGAACACTAAACCAGATACCAACCCTAAAACCCGAAAGCCCTAATACCCTGAAACTCTATAGCCAATCATAGGCGCAAAGAAAGATCAACATATAAGCTACAGGAACACTAAACCAGATACCAACCCCAAAACCTAACACTAAAATCCTAGAGCTCTAAGAATAGAAAGCAACAACACACATCGAAATAGTTATAAGCCTAAACCCTAAACTCGCATATACTCTGTAATTCATTAATCACACTCACTCATAGTACACACAACTGCAATGCACTAAAACCTACCCCCTACCCCCCTACGTTAACCACCCGCACATACTCTGCAACTCATTAATTACACTCACTCATGGTACACACAACTGCAATGCACTAAAACCTAAACCCTACCCCCTTACATTAACCACCCGCACATACTCTGCAACTCCTTCATCTGCTCCTTGACGTGTTGTAGCTCTATCACCAGCATGGCGTTCTCCTGTTCCACGTACGCTATCTGTTCTAATGTATCCTCCGTCTGATCGTTCAGCCCTTCAATGTCTGCCTGCGCCCTACGCGCCGTCTGCTCAATCTCATCACTCTGGAAACAACACACAAGACACTTGAGACAGTAATAAAATAGTAATAAACAACACACAATGCACATGAGAAATGAGATACATGTCAATGGCACAATCTGTGAGAAATAGCATGTGTGTGAAACTATTAATGAACACACAATACACACGAGCATTGGAACTATCTGTGGGCAACACTATGTCAATGCAACTACTAATAAACAACACACAACACACAGGTATATGTATATATATTATATAAATATATATATTTGTACACATATATTTATATATATATATATATGTATATATATATATATATATATATATACACCACACACACACACACACACACACACACACACACACACACAC